TCCTCTCCCATGATGCTATCCTACAATAATTTTATTACAATGGGACAGTGAGGCATGTATCTGCAACTCCACCTAACATAAGTTCATTCACTAATCAATAGAAAAAAAGATGTTCTTTGTCTCCCTGGCTTATGTGATCTAATAAGAGCAATATCCCAAATCTTTGCAACACCAACAGAACAGGTGGCTGATTGCTTTATCCAAATCCTTTTGTTGGAATTTAAGTAAGCAAACAGGATATGAAGACAGTTGTATACATGTCTTATGTACTTACATTCCCAAGGCCAAGAATAGTTCTCCTCAGCCAAGAGCTCATTGGGAGGAGGGAGTTTGTCAGTTTCCCCCATGATAGCATTACGTTTTGTAATGGCATCTTCTAAGGCTCTCTTTTCTGTAGCAATCTTTTTCCTTAGGTGATGTCTCCACTTGTTGCCATCTAGTATGTGAAACAAAAAATGATTTCGTGTATGCTTACCCATTTACAGATTAATGAACACCTATTAAAGATAGTCGAGGCTACTAAAAACTGTACTTTTACTGTATGTTTATTGAAGTACTGAATCTCTTTTTCATGTCAGGTAAAAAAAATAAAATCTAATCTGTCTTAGTGGTGGAATTTTTTTTGTCTCACCAGCCTGATGATACAGCTGATATTTTCTCTGTTTGATGCTCAGGTACAGTCCTTCAATAGTTTTCTCCAGGTCATTTTGACTGGTTGTTCCTTGTGAGGAGAGATGTATAAAATCAATACACACCAATATTAGTTTACAATCCAAGTCATTTTCAACATACTTTCACAAGAACTGAGAAAAATTACTCTTTGAATTGTTCATAAAATGACAAAGTTTTACACAGTACCTGCAGTCCACTGCTGAACATCAGACACCCATTGCTGGACTGTATCTTCCTGTATCGACAACTCTGCAGTCAGTTTCTTAAGGTCCTCAGATGCCTCTGAAATCCTTTGTACAGTCTGTCAAAATCAATGTTGGAGTAACAAATCACTGAGCCAAATTTGAAAGAAATAAGTGTGTGCATCATGAAAAACATCGGTCTGGTCTGGTCTTTACCTTGATGAATCGTTTGGCCAATGTCTGGTCAAGGTTTTCTGCCTTCCGCTTGTTCCAGCCACTGGCCTGGATGGTAAGCATGTCTGTGCGGACTTAATGCACAATGCATATTAGGCAAGGAAACCAAAAACTTAATAAGTTAGATGCATCTAAAAAATACTTACCAGCTTTTGACATGTGCTTGGAACATATGGCTGCTCGAGAGAGGAAGCTGTTCACCTGTTCAACCTCCTCCCCTATCGTTGTCCCTGCTCCCTCTTGATTTCGTCCTCCCCATTGCAACTACAACAAATTTGTAGGTTACCATTTGGAAGACAGGGTGCTGTAAGATGACCAACAGTAATAATGAGAAATAAAAGCCATTGGCAATCATTACCTCACACATCCAGGAATGTGCTTTAGCATGCATGATGGAGAGAAAGGGACGCATGTTCAACAGGTCCTGTAACTCAGGACAGTGGCCCACAACCCTCTGCAAATATGGCCAGTACTTGCATACCACATCAGAGCAAAAGAACTGCACATTCTGTGAAACAAGCTGCTTCTGGAGATATAAGGGATATGCAAATATCTCTCCACGGAACATATTCAGTCCCTTCAGCAAAATCCCATGACGGCAGACAGCAACCTCGACACCTTCCTCATCTACTTTGCTAGCAGACTTGTTCGAGGACTCTCGTGCTGCTACCCACTCGCCTGTACCACACCTCCCTTTCCCAGGATTCTATGACAGATGAAGATACACACAGATGTAAACAGAGCAAAAAAGTGTTGTACATTAACTATTGGTAATATGACGTTATATGGGGTAAATACAATACAACAGATATGCAGAAAGTATTGTAGGCCATAATCATTTATAAAACATGTAGAAATGGAAATAAACTTTACATGTCGTGTTGACGCGTGGATGTAGTCGACAAAGGAGGTCAGCTCGGCATCCTTGGCCAGAAACACACCTTCAAAAAATCCATTAGGTCTAAAAAGAACCAAAGTAAGGGTTAATTTTACAAAGATTACATTTATGACACTCTAAATTTTAAGTGGACAAGAATTTTACACACCCCGGTTGGCTCTTAAAGCGGTAAAGCTTACGGTTACCATCCACTGCAACAGCCAACATGGAGGGTGTGCATGCAGGGCACTGAAACTGATGCACCTGGGACAGCTTCTCAACCTCAAATTTTGCATAAGACCATTCAAGGAATGATTTCTGCATGGTGTCTCCACATATTTTACCACTCTGATAGGATAAGGAAAACAAAATAGACCATGACATGATATAAATACATCTTAAACTCATTCAAAGTAGTAGACAATTGCTTCAATGATGTACTCACCCGACCGAAGAGTTTAGTGCGCTGTTCAAGCATGCCAACAAAAGCTTGCCGTGACATTCCTGGAGCAGTGATCTTGAGATCTTCATATGTAGTGAACATATCCACTGTGTACAAAGTCTCGAAATTGACTGTGGCTGGCCAATAGCCACTTTCAACCAGATCACTAATGCCGACATCCCAAGTCTTTCCACAGGAGCAGCTGACAGTTGGAAGGGACAGATTGTATCGTCCTAAAAATATATATATGTAAATATTAAAAAAAAAGAAAAAAGTAATTACTGTAATACACAAGTAATATAAAAGATAATATGAGGGAGAAAACTGTACCATTCATTCCAATCAGTAACACTTGCTTCCCTGGAGAAACGCTTGTTTGCCCAGTAGAGCAGTCGCAGCAGGGAAGCATTACTGGCAAAAAGCACTCTTGGAAGGAAGGAAGGAAAAACATTTTACATTACTGTTACAATATTTTTAAACAGTAATGGTGTTTTTTTCAATGATTAAAAACTTTAAATAGAGAAACTTAACCCATCATTCCCTTTTTGACTTGAGACATTTTACCAATTTTAGTACGCCTATACGATCTTAAACACAGAAAGTACCTCTTTCATGGTAAGAGAATTTTCCTCCCTCTTCTTCCCTGATGCAAGTGGTTGGTGGCAGTGGCCTGTAGAATCCCTCTACCATGGATGATCTGTTATGGAGCACCATGGAGTTGTGAATGGCAAGATCACAGGCTGTACAGTGAAGTGGTCTTGGCAAACAATCGCGACACATCACAACTGCAACCTTGGATCTACAGTGGTGGCAAGTTCCCTCTTTCGGCTTTTCAGATAATAACATCTGATTAACCATAAAAGGTCTCAATACAGTCCACTTTTCCAAAGTGGAAGCTTTCCTATCCTTCCACTGTGAAGGGGCTGGGTCTTCAGCAGGTCCCAAAAGGTCTTGTACTTCTTGGATGAGAGAACCTTGAAAACGGGGTGGGATCGGTAAAATTAGCTGATTACAACAAGACAAACAGGGAAAGAAGAAGAGGGAATATAAAGAACATTAGCTAAAAATCTACCTATGTCTTGATTGGTCCCAGTCACACTCTGTTGTCCACTAGTAGATGGAGCACATGATGATGGGTCCATGCTTCCGGAGGTAACTGTTAAGAGTGTGTAAATATATTTGAAAGGGACAATGCAGTATAATAGTTTCAGTACAAAGCATGAAACTGATGAGCTGTAAAGAAAGTCTATAGCTATTGCTAATTTCCAGCTCTTGTCCCTAGTTGGACTTTTTGCGCCCCCCTCATCGCCTCCCCTCCCCCACCCAGTAGCGCGCGCGCGCTAGGATCTTTTATGTACCTACATACATAAATACACACACGCCACCCACACAAACATATAAGAATCAATCAAATACTTAATTGGTTGATAGACTTTTGTTCCATTATTATGTAATTCATAAACAATATGCTCAGCCGAAAACAAACACCATTATTTCAACAAAGTGACCATCAAAAATATTGGGGAAGAAAACCCACCTGTGAACGAACCCCGTTTCCGCGCCTCCCCCGTTCTACGCCTTTTCGGGAGAGGGTTTCCTTCCTCGTCTTCCTCGACCCAAACAAATTTATCTGAGCCCGTTTTCGACGCTCCTGCGGGTTGGTTACGTCGAGCCTCGTTAAAATATAAATCATGGGACATGCCAGTGTTACATAATACACATTATCACCTAACGTTAAAAATGGCAGCTCTAGTTTCAGAAATTCTAAGGAGATATGTTGAAAGCATTGCCTACCTCGCATTCATCCAACAGCACATCAGCAAGAAATAAGATATCGTCTTCTTCAAGCGGATCCATAGTGCTTCACGGCGTTGTGTTTGAAGCCTAATGATTCCATGTACGCGCTACTGGTCTTTAAAGATGGCGAGATCTCGCAAAAGATCGCGGGCAAAACTTTTGCGAGATCTCTTTATTTACAGTTCATCATTATAAGGTTTTAAACACATGAACAACAATGTAGGCTCGGGGTGCAGAAACACGTTCAAATGTAAAGGAATAGAAATAACAATAATAATAATAATAAATAAATAAATCGGTTCGTTGTTAATAGCGTCCTTAGCTACCACCGTAGCAACAACAAAAAAACGTAGAATTCCTACAATTTTGTTGAGAGACCTGAAAGAATGGACGTCGAAACGAAAAAACTACGTATCGTATACATAAACCGAATGGATACTATGAAAATAAAGTCTACATTTGTCGCTAGAAAAGTTATAAAAACAAAGCAAAAGCCACAAGCTATCTTAAAATAGAGCAATTTCCACCGAAAATAGAAGGTATGTCCGCCATGTTTTTTTGTTCACGCCGGGGAGAAACTCGGCAGTCACGTGACCTAAAGTATGCCCATAGAAAAGACTAGGCAGATGAAACGTACCCATTTCACAATTTCAGAGCCGTTTTTGTGAAATGACTACGTTTTGCCTTGTGGACCAACGTAGGTATTACACAATTTGGAGTGAGACTGGGTTGGTCTCACAGAAGACCGACGCCAGAGGATTGTGATACCCACCACGGGGTACAGTCAGGCCACGAGCTGCTACACCGAGCTGAGCAATTCTGATGTTCTCTAGCTTCAAGTTTATGGTATGTGTTTCTCTGCCTGTCTCCAGTTCTCCTCCTCGGCTCCAGCACTCGGCACCCCTCCAAGCACTCCAGCGTTTGTCACCCACGGGAACTCACGGACACCTTCACCGGGAGACCCTTCACGAGAGCACCCCCCCACGAGCACCGAACCCTGAGCAACGGACCCCTGTGCACCACCCCGGTTTCCCTCGTCACGGCTCCCTCTCTGCACCGGGAAAACCCCCACGGACCAAGACACTCTCAGGCACCGGCTCTTTGTGCACCACTCTCAGACCCCCCTTCCTCGGATCACAACACCAAAGACTTCACTCCACCACCTTCCTTAAATAAATCCGTTTTCCTTTAACCCTTCTCCCCGTCTCCCTTTTCGTTTGGGTCCACCCGCACTGTCACCGAGCACGAATCGTCACAAAATCAAATTCTTCACATTCACTACGGTTCCACTTTACCCTCAGATTCCTCCATATTCTTTTCAC